TCGGTGATACCGCGCTGGCATACCCAGGAAGATGCCTAAAGGGAAAGAAGTCGAGACATTCTGCAATGCGAATTTGACTCCGGTACGTGTGGGGGAATATGTATATCTGATATGCCTTGTCCCGCTGCTCGATGATAACCTCCGACCCGTGTCGTTGAGAATACAGTCATGTGGTTTCGCATTTGCTATTTTTTTTCGAAATATTAATTGTGGTCCGTTTCGGATCAATAGCTACATGACCACTGGTTTCTTGATGACGAAACCAATTTGCCATCACGTGCTGAGATGTGGACGGCTCTTGCCTGCATATTACAGCATTTTGCTCCCCGGTGCGTACGTAATCAGACCGAGGAAGAGAACCAGTGTCAGTCTGAACACACGGAACATTTTCGAACATTTCCACACCTGCTTTTTGATGCATTCTCTTCACGTGCAATACAAGCGCATGGACAGGCACAATGAAGTTTTTGACAGCAGAAAATTGAGTAGAATAGCGCACAGAAGAGTACCATTGGTCAGCATAGTTGACAACACTCTTATTGGCGATGGTGCCATCGTGAGAATAAAGAATTCAAACAAACACAGTAAACATAAAGGCGTCAGGGAAAAGTGCAAGCGTGCGGTGTTTCTATACGTAGTGCTAAATCATTGGAGATTTTGAAAGCTGTTTATATTCGCGCCGAAGAGCCTAGCCTTTGCCAGCAGAAACGGATTAAATTGACACTTAGGCTGTTGGGTAGGCCATCAACAACTCGTTAGTTATGTCCACCGGTCGCCCCTTGTTGTCGCAATACATCGCACGCTTGTTAAGTGTCTTCATGCTTGCACCTTTTCGTCATTCCTTCTACGTGTACGAGTGTGTATGAGGTTGCACATTTTACTGTGTCGTTTCTGGCACTCCTCGTTGCACTGGTTGCATCAAGTCTCTGCCGTATAAAATTCCTGGTGCTTGTTCGATTTCTTGTTGCCTGTATTCGATCTGGTGAGAAGGCATGGCACGTTGCTATGGAAACTTTAGAAAGTGTTGCTACAGCACAGTGTGCTGAGAAACTGGAAGGTCATTCTCTTCCCAGTGTGAATGCTATTTTGTATCCTAGAAAACTAAATACAGTGAGACCTCGCTTAACCGCACACATCCGTTTTGCACAAAAATATCCGGATAGGCGAGGGAACCGGATAACCGAACACTGGTTATGTTGGATGCATCACGTATGCTGTAAATCTGCAACCAGCTAGTTTCTTCCGGATGGCGAGGGATCCGGATAGAAGAGGACTGGATAAGCGAGGTCTGGCTGTACATACGTACAGTCAAACCTCATTAGGATGAACACTGATAAGGCGAACGTTCCATTAGTACGAACTAGGGCCAATCCTATGGTTGGCCAGGCATCATATCCAGTCAAAATTATTCGTTTACGGCGAACTTTCGCGAAAACGAACTAATTTCAAACGTGATTTGAACAAAATCAGCGCGTAGTACGAACTTTCCGTCCACGTGCGTGCGCTGGCTGTGATTTTCCCCGATAGTCGAGGCCTCTTGTATGGGTAAAACAAATTGACAGCATGTTACAAGGCGGATGACATGCTGTCATGAATTCTTCGCACATTGTACTTACCTGTTGCTGTCTTGTGCTATGAATTAATGCTTTACATGTGTCACAACATGCACCTTCACATAAATACAATCCATATGATATTATGCATATCGATTTTTTGTCAGATCTGGATAAGAAGAACTCCGGATAAGACAAACAAACTTATTCAAACTTATTCAGTTCCTTGAAGTTAGTCCGAACGAGGGTTTTTTTCAAGGGAAGGTTCCAAGGGCAGAGTCGAACCCAACACCCTGTCTTTCCTGGACAGTGTGTGCTGTTGATAGTAGTGCATTTGAATATGCCCGCCCAGCTGTAGGCGGACAGCTGGTCAGTCTGGACTTAGTGGATACAGTGGTCCCTCTATAATCCGGCAGCATTTGTGCCACGGAAATCTGCTGGATTAGGGAGGGTGCTGGATTAACAAATCGGATTTACTGCTACAATGGTTTTCTGAAACTGTTGTGGTCTTTTGTATCTATTCGAAGTGGCTTATGCGAACACTTTTGGCTGGTTTGCATGATTTGCGTGCCCATTAATGCAGCTGCAGGCCATGCTGATGTCTACGCGAACAAGCACATAATAATAAATAAATGTGCATGAAGAGGACATTTTGGCTACTGGAAATTGTGCTGGTTTATAAAGTGCCGGATTAAAGAGGGACGACTGTACTGTGATTCTGGCAAAATCTGTACTTGTTTGCAGACTACCACAGGATCACACACGTTGAACATGGCCAGAACGGCTTATGTGAATGAACCAGTAATCAGCTGGGGATCGCGCGCACGCACACACACACACACACACACACACACACACACACACACACACACACACACACACACCTGCACACACACACACGCGCACACACACGCGCCCGCGCGCGCGCACACACACACACACACACACACACGCGTGCGCACACACACACACGCGCGCACACACCCACACACATGCACCTGCACACACACACACACCTGCACACACACACATGACCTGCACACACACACACACACACACACACGTACGTACACATGTCCCAGCTTTACTACATGTACATGTACTGTTGTGTAGGTGTGACAGAGCAGAGTTCAGATTAACTCTCCTGTGCCCTGACGTTCATCAAAACCCAGTTTCATGCCCCCCCCCCCCCTTGATTTGCCAAGACGCAAGAAGATAGAAGATATGCACTCAGACCTCAGTCTATCTCTTTCCCTTGCTAACCAGCAGATGATTAGTTGGAGCAGATTTGCTTCAAACATGTGGGGTGTGACGTAAAACTTTTACGGGTTTCCGCTATCCAGCCGCTTTTGTCCGTCTGGTTGTTCTCATTGAAACTAATGCGTTCCCGTGTGTGCGTGTGTGTGTTTGTGTGTGTGTTTGTGTGTGTGTGTGTGTGTGTGTGTGTGTGTGTGTGTGTGTGTGTGTGGTGTGTGTATGTATGCGTACATGTGTGTATTACAGTATGCGCACAAGGAGTTGGTGAAGAAGGACATCATAGCCGTTGTCAAAAATTTCAATGAGCTGGATATCAGCCGAGGACAGTTCTGTACGTATCGTGCTGCTGCTACTGCTGCTAAAATGTGTTTTATTGAACACGCAAAGCAATGATGATATGAATACAGGGATAGCAAAGAATTCAAAAAGAGAACAGCAAAATTGGTTGCTGCTGCTATTGCTACTGCTGTTGCTACTGCTGTTGCTACTGCTGTTGCTACTGCTACTTCTGCTGTTACTGGTGATGGTGATGGTGCTGCTGCTTTATGTGTGTGTGTGTGTGTTTGTGTGTGTGCGCGTGTGTGTGTTTGTATTGGTGGGTACACACACACACCTGCACCGGTGTTTGTGCGTATGATTGTAGATGAGTCCAATGGTCAATGTCGTGACTTGGTGAAGCTACACGGTACAATACCAGTGCATTACAAAGGTGAGATTATCATGACATCGCACCTGTGGCTCTTGCGCTGCCTCCTGTTGCGCCAGGGACTGTAGTGATCTGGTCTGGTTCGAGGGTATGTTTGTGCTGGTGGTCGCCATATTTACAGTGCATTTGTATGACATTCTAATAGGGAGAGGAAAAGAAATAGGTAGATAGAGAGACAACGGGTTAAGCAAAGCAACCAATACGGCAATGATTGACTGAGCACCGAAGTTCGCCCTTCAAATTTCTTTCTGCACCCTGCATACGAGGAGCTACACGTGCCAAACATCTACTTGAAGTACTAGCAGCCAAGCTGGGTATTTCCCCGGTGACATGGCTCATGGACTATAGCCTACATATTGTTTGCTTGAACAGCGCGAGCCTTTCCCAGTTTGAACGGCCGATCTGCGTTGAGTACCGTATACAAGTACATGTATTCTCTATTGTAAGCGCAGGTCTCCATCACTAGCGCAGTCCCTAATACTAGCGCACTGCATTATAAGAGGACCTTTCGAAACTTTATATCACAGCACTTCTAATAGAGATTAGATATACCGTAAAGTCGCGGATAAAAGCCGGGCTTATAAGCACATAAGCCGCTTTCTGCATCAGGCTTTAATGCAAACCAGGCTTGTATGCAAACCATGCTTATATGCACCACTGATATTTTTGCCACGCGTAGATCTCCCACTGACTACCGGTATGGCGGCAGTTTTACTATGCACCGTACATAGCGCATACACTCTTGACCTACCCGATCTGCGCTTGCATAGAAGCCAGGCTTCTACGCGCGACAGGCTTATATGCATTTGACCCGTTTTATTTTCAGGCTTCTATTCGCGATGTGCTTGTATGTAAACCCGGCTTTTATCCGCGACTTTACGGTATACGGTATGAGTGCTGATTAGAAAGATATTGCTGTCCTGTGTTGAATGTGGTGAGTATGTAACTGGTGCTATGGGTCTGCGCGCAGCGTGCTGCAGCCGTTGTCATGACGTATCTTGATTGCTTCATGCCATGCACGCGTTGCCTAAAATCCACTGTTTCTCGTACCAGCACACTCAGTTTTTTCTTGATTCGCCCAAGTAGTACAGATGCGATCTATTGATTTGGGTACATGAACTTCTATTCTGTACGATTGTTTAATACCACAGGGGAAGCTCTTCAGACTTTTCTCGTTTCCACCTTTCCCTCGCTAATGGAAGTGTGCTGTTTGATTTTTTCTGCACTGTGCGAATGAAGCTGCATGATGTAATGAAGGAGTGTGTCGCACATCTGGCACCTTGAAAGAAAACTTTTAAGTTTTCTTTGCGCAACTGTCATTAAAATGACAGTTGCATATTCTTGTTTACGAACTCTTGTGTTTGTTAGTGAAAGTGGTCCTTCTACACGCACGGCAGTTGAGCTTTACGTGTTGGTGTGTGCGGTGCTCATACTCTCAACTTTGTTGTGATTCTCATTTCTTGTGTGTGTGTGTGTGTTGACAGGTAATGTGTATCATATTCCTGTGTGTCTATGGCTGGATCATCAACATCCGCACCGTGCACCAATCTGTATGGTGGAACCTACTCAGACTATGCACGTCAAGCCCGGCAAACATGTCGACAGCAATGGCATGTGCTATCTGCCGTATCTACATGAGTGGAGATACGTAGGTTTACACGTGTGTCGACTGTCTCTGTCTCTGCCTCTCTCTCCCTGCTGTCTCTGTATATGTGTGCATGCGTGCGTCTCTCTCTCTTTCTCTCTGTCTCTCTCGTTTTCTTGCTCCCACACCCTCCCGTCTTTATTAACCCTTTACCGGCAGCCCCATACTTGAATGCGTCAACGTTGACGCATTCGACAGGCATACAAAACCATGCCTGGCATGACGGGAAGCATCAGCCCACGGGGATTTCCCGTGGCCCTCAAACAGCCTAGGTATGATCCTATCGGTAGCTGAAGAGATCCACGCGTGTCCCATTTGATTTCATTGAGAACTGCGCGATCGAAAACTTACGGAAATACACGCGCGCCGACAATGCCGTCCGCCTCCGTCAAAACATCGTCGGGTGCATTTTCTCTTGCGCAGTGAGTTCCTTTCGTCCTCGGATGACTTCTCCGACGACGACCTAGCAGTCATTCGCTCTGGGACCGACGACAGATAGATAAATACTTCGTTCCAGCCGCCGATGCAAGCGAATTTCAAATTACGGAGCGGTGCGCACGCCAAGTAAATGCTCACGCAAATATGGGGAGCGCCAGCCGCTGAAGACGATGTCGTCGTGATGTAACTGTAAGAATCTGATGGTGCTTGTGGTGGGGAAGCCATGGAGAGCGATTCCCGTGTCGACAGTCTCCCAGAGACGGAATTTTAGCCCATCGACTTTCTACGTACCTGAGTGACGGCAGCGCAGCGCGGCTTGCGTACGACCTTACGGAGCTTTCCGACAGCGATTCTGGGGCGATGCTGCTCTCATTTGCGAGCGAGGCATGGCCACTGAAGTTTGTGATGGCTATGGCGTTTGTTTCCGCTCCGAAGTCGACTTGTTTTGGCAGTATCATGTCAATGTCGGAACTCTGACGATTTGCATGTGTACAATTTCCGTGTTTAGACGTAGAGGTGCCAATTTAGCAGCGTATGTGTGTGGTATCAGAAAATAAATTTTTCCATGGTCAAGAAGTAGTACTAGACTTCCAATAAAACATAACTTGCACATACAAAATGTGGCCTCGTTGTGAGTTATTGGTATCGTTCTAAATGTTATGGATTTCATATACAAAAGTAACTTGCCGGTAAAGGGTTAAGTTGCTGTTTTCGTTTTCTGCAACTGTCCACACCTATACTGGCACCACTCACACAGCAAGTTGATCACCGGCGTTGTGAACATGATCACGCTCATGCATAGATTGACAGCATACTAGTACTGCTTGCGTAGGGGGTCTGTCCTTCTGTGCTCTCGCATACCGGCCTGATGATTACGAAAAGCCGAATTGTCGTAGTAAGACGGGCAAGAGTTTCTTGTATGATGTCGTTGCAAATTAGTGGAAGTGAGTTGCGTTCTCCCAGTGTCTTTTAAAATCCACATTACAACAAACTATACAATTGTGGACTCGGATGGAGAACCAAGGCTACATTTATAGAAAAGAGAAGGACCAAGGAACTACAAGTTGCGCTATAATGTCCACTAACACCACCAGCAGCTACAAAACAATCGATCTGCTGGTGGTGTTAGTGGACATTATAGCGTAACTTCTAGTTCCTTGGTCCTTTTCTTTTCTATACAATTGTGTTTGGAAACACAAACCAACTCAGGAGGTTTGGCTTGTGCCACGCCACCACCATGTGTGAGATCCCCCGGTGGCAGATACGACAGTGAGGGTGAAGTAGTAAATCTCACAACCAGTGGCCGACAAAGGGGTGAACACCTCGCCATCTGCACTACAGCCCCTTACGGCCATCCATAAGCAGCTCTCAAAGGCAATATCCATGCACTGACTTGTGTGCGTGTGTGTGTGTGTGTGTGTGTGTGTGTGTGTGTGTGTGTGTGTGTGTGTGTGCGCGTGTGTGTGTGCATGCCAACGTGCGCATGTGTGTTGTTGTTTGGTACTGCTGCAGCCTAACTCCGATATCCTGAACCTGATTCAAGTGATGCAGTTGCAGTTTGGAGAGGAGTGTCCAGTGTTCTCACGCCCAGCTGGTGCCCCTGCTGCTACTGTTGCCGGCGGCCGGCCCACAGCTCAACCTGCCCAGCCATCTTATCCACCTAGACCAGGTGGGGCGCCCTATCAACCGCCAGCAGTCGGTGGATTCCCCAGCGGCGGGTACGGGGGCATGCCCCTGCCGGGTCAGCCCCGTCCCGGTCCGCCTGGCCAGCCCTATAACGGGGCCCGTGGTCCCCAGCCCCCGTACCCGGCCCAGGGTGGCGGCGGCGGTGGTGGTGGCTACCCGCAGTCACCCTACCAGGCTGGGCCCAACGCCACGCCGTACCCGTCCACCGGTCCCGCCCCGTACCCGAACAGCAGCAGCAGTAGCAGCACCCCGTACCCCACCCCAGGCCCTGCCCGACCCCCACAGCCCGGGTACCCGGGTGGGTTTGGACCTGGCCAGCAAGCACCGTACCCGGGCTCCTCTCAGCCGTACCCAGGTGGACCCGCACCACCGTACCCTGGTGCAAATTCGTCTTCATCTAATACTCCCTACCCATCCACATGCTCAACAGGTGAGTTTAATTAGAGTTTGCGATCTTTTACACTTGTGGTTTTGCAGCCACTAACTGAGGTGTGATGAGCCCATAGTGGAGTCATATTTTCAAGTCCACCCGTAGGTTGGGGGTTTGGGGGTTGTGAGCCGTTGGGCGGTTCCATAGCTATTTGAGTCATCTTTCCAAGATTTCTTCTGAATCGCTCTCTCTCTCCTCTCCCAAGGGGAGACCCAAGTGGCCAGTTTATGCCAGTGAGCTAGTACCGTGTGCGCGTGCTTGTGTGTGTGTGTGTGTGTGTGCATGTGCGTGCGTGCACGCACGTGTTTGTGTGTGTGTGTCGGCGCGCACCTGCACGCACATGTACAATGGTGCTTCTGATGTTGTTGTGTTGTGTTGTTGTGTGTTAACAATCTTGCTGTGTTGTGTGTGTGTGTGTGTGTGTGTGTGTGTGTGTGTGTGTGTGTGTGTGTGTGTGTGTGTGTGTGTGTGTGTGTGTGTGTGTGTGCGTGCGTGAACAGGGCCGAGTAATATGTATAGCACCTACCCACCACCTGGCCAAGCTAGCTCTCACAGTGGCGGACCAACGTCTACAGCATCGCATCACAACTGTATGTGCTGGTTCAGTGTGTGTCTGTGTTATTGGCTGTGTGTGTGTGTGTGTCTGTGGTATTGGTTTAGTGTGTGTGTGTTTGTGTGTGTGTGTGTGTGTGTGTGTGTGTGTGTGTGTGTGTGTGTGTGTGGTGTGTGTGTCCCATATGGTGTCCCATATGGTGCAGTGGTATGTGCAGCGATTTCCAATCGATAGATTGCGGGTTCGATTCCCGACGATTATGGTCACACACGTCTTTCTTCTCTTTCTCAGACTCTTCCTGACTTTTCTTTCATTCTCCTGGGTGGTTACCAACAGCCAGTGCATGCCGGAGTATGTGGTGTGATGTGTGTGCGGGAAAAAAAAAGAAGAAAAAAAAGAAGAAAAAAAAGAAAAAGTCCAAAAAAAGGGATTCACTGGCCAGAAAATGTCACTCCAAATAGCTGTATGGTGTAGACCAGGCTGAATAGTGACGGTCAATTCTTCAGCCTTGCAAGCTGTTGAAGGGTGGAATCCCAGCACAAGTTGCTATGGCTTCTGCCGTAGCATTGCTATCATCGCCTCCGGCGATGGGCGTCAAAGGTCAAGGTCAAAGGTGTGTGGTGCGGGTTTAGTGTGCGTGTGTGTGTGTGTGTCTGTGGTGTTGGTTTGGTGTGTGTCTGGCATGGGTTCAGTGTGTGTCTGTGGTATTGGGAGCTTCTTGTTTGCTACTCGTACGGTAAACTTGCCTTTACTCGTACTGGATTACTATGTTCGGGGCGAAATCATCCTTCCATGGCCAGAGTCATCTTTACCTGGCTGAAATCATCCTTCCATGGCCAGAGTCATCTTTACCTGGCTGAAATCATCCTTCCATGGCCAGAGTCATCTTTACCTGGCTGAAATCATCCTTCCATGGCCAGAGTCATCTTTACCTGGCTGAAATCATCCTTCCATGGCCAGAGTCATCTTTACCTGGCTGAAATCATCCTTCCATGGCCAGAGTCATCTTTACCTGGCTGAAATCATCCTTCCATGGCCAGAGTCATCTTTACCTGGCTGAAATCATCCTTCCATGGCCAGAGTCATCTTTACCTGGCTGAAATCATCCTTCCATGGCCAGAGTCATCTTTACCTGGCTGAAATCATCCCTACTAGTATATGGCCGGTTTGTTCTGGTCCTAGTGAACACTCTGTTAGTTGCTGATGCTCAGTATCTGAATAACGTTTCGGTCCTGCCGGGTTTGTCCAGTGATGACTGGATTTACCGTAAAGTACTGTTGATCCACCCCCCGCTCTAATTTCCGCCCGCTGTCGAATTTCTGCCTCTGAAACGACGTTGGCGTATACAGCAACAATGTTGACCCGACGCATGTACTCCTGTACACAATACATGCGAATGCAGGATGAAAATGTGCACAATCCAGCATGCCAGGTCTGATCTTCTGCTTTGTTGTACATCGCACTGCACTTGAACGACTTGATCTATTCCTCTCCCCTCCCCCCCCCCCCCCCCCCCCCGAAAAACCAGCTGGGAAGCGACACAGCGGGGGGGGGGGGGGGGGGGGGGGGGGAGGGGGATCCACGGTACTTTACTGTACTCGGCATCTCCTTAAAGCTATGAAATGCTGCGTGTGCATACATGTGGGCGTTCCGACTGTGTGAGTTAAGCCCCATTTGTGTGTCTTCATTTCAATTTCTCTTTTTTCTGTCTGTCCATATCTCTCTCTCTGTCTGTCTGTTTGTCTGTCTGTCTCCCCCATGTCCTCTTTTCTGTGACGATGACGTGTTGTAGCTATCATGTCCACAACACCCGCCGGTCTCCCTGGTGCAATGGTGACAGAGCAACTGCGCGGTAACGAGGATCCCGACATTGAAGGCATTCGTCGCAGAAGTTTGGTGTGCGGTGTGGAGGACAAGCTCCGGAGAAGACTGCAGGCTACTATGGATGCTGCAGAGGTAGGTTTGCTTTATGCTTTGAAAACTGTATTCTCTGTACTGTAAGCCTACAAATGTTCGGCCCATTCAAATTTCGGCCTCCTTGGGCTAAAACTCATTTCGGCCGCATCAAATTTTCATCCTGTACTGCTGCCGCCTGTATACGGTGTCACACTGAACCTTGCAAAATAAAATTTCGGCCGCAGCAAGTTTTCGGCCAAACATGACCAGGCCGAAAATAACTACGCGGCGAATATTTGTTGACTTACCGTATGCTTATCTGGAGAACACTTGCAGCTGACTGTTTTCACCCTGAAGATGGGCCATGCACGAACATTGGGTGAGTTCAGTTCTTTCTTTTAAAGCTGCAGTTGGCGGGGTTTTCTTCTGGTGCATGAGGTGGCATGTGGAACAGAGTGTAGTGAATTGCTCCTTTCCAGAAAAGTTTGACAGCAAGTAAATAACGGACCCAAAGACTGATCACTGCAGGTTGTTCGCTTGAAAAAAAAAGGTTTCGTTGCACAAAGCCAACACCGAAAACCATGACCAATTAGCTGCGACTGTGAAATACACGGCAGGAACAACATCCATCAGCTTCACTATACTTTTTGGCAATTTGATGAGCTGAGCTCACGGAATACTCACTGTCAACGCGCGAATTTGAAGAGAATTTGAAGCAGGCCCAGGCCCAGACGTACATATGCTTTGCTCAGTGTAGAAAGTTGAAACTGCCAGAGAGATCATACGAACACACACGCACACACACACACACACACACACACACACACACACACACACACACACACACACACACACACACACACACACACACACACACACACACACACACACACACACACACACACACACACACACACACACACACACACACACACACACACACACACACACACACACACACACACCATTGGACCATTGGACGCCCATCGCCGAAGGCGATGATAGCGATGCTACAGCAGAAGCCATAGCAGCTTGTGCTGGGATTGCACCATTCAACAACTTACAAGGCTGAAGAATTGACCGCCACTATTCAGCCTGGTCTACACCACACAGCTATGAAGTGACTTTTTCTGGCCAGTGAATCCCTACTTTTTGGTCTTTTTTCATTTTTTTCCCACACACACATCACACCACATACTCCGGCATGCACTGGCTGTTGGTAACCACCCAGGAGAATGAAAGAAAAGTCAGGAGAAGTCTGAGAAAGAGAAGAAAGATGTGTGTGACCATAATCGTCGGGAATCGAACCCGCAACCTCTCGATTGGAAATCGCTGCACATACCACTGCACCATATGGGACACACACACACACACACACACACACACACACACACGTACACACACGTACACACACGTACACACACGTTTGTTTAAACTTTCGACGTAATTGTGTTTCATCATGTTGTTTGTCTTGCTGTGACATTGACTGTAACTGGCAGCACGAGACAAGAGAGCTACAGCAGCAGCAGAGAGATCTACACGCTGGTACCGACAAGCTAAACCGTGTCATGGGAGATATATCTCGTCTGCAGGTATGTCTGTGTACGTGTATGTTGTGTTACTGGCAGCAACAGCATGTGCAGCACACACACGCACGCACCCACCCACACATCCCCCCCCCCCCCTCTCTCTCTCTCTCTCTCTCTCTCTCTCTCTCTCTCTTCCCTGCGTTTTATGTTCTAACTCTGTCCTGTGCTATCCATGCCGTGTAGGCGGAGGCGGAATTAAACATCGCCACCATGACGTCAAAGTCTGCTGAACTGCAGGACCTACTTGAGAAACTGGATGAGAGTGCTAACAGTCAGCTGGATGTTGATGATGCTGTCGTTGCCACGTACCCACTATACACTCAGTGAGTGAGGCCAGAGCTGATTGTGATGGTGCGCACGTGTGTGCACGTGTGTGTGTGTGTGTCTGTTTGTCTGTGTCGGTGTTTGTGTCGGTGTGTGTGTGTGTGTCATGTTCACTTTCCTACTGCTCACTCCTATTGTACAAGTTCCAACAGCCTTCTTGACCTCTAATGAATCATTCTTTGTGGAGAAGGCCAGTACATGGCTGGATTCTATTGTCAAAAGCGCAATTCACTCGTGATAATTTCTGTCTCTCTGCACAGTGGTCCAGTCATTTCCCTCTTACGTACTATGTTTTTTGTGGGGATCAAGTGCCTGTTTTGTCATCGGTATGGCCATCAATTAACTATTGGCTGTGTGTGTGTGTGTGTGTGTGTGTGTGTGTGTGTGTGTGTGTGTGTGTGTGTGTGTGTGTGTGTGTGTGTGTGTGTGTGCGTGCGTGCGTGCGTGCGTGCGTGCGTGCGTGCGTGCGTGCGTGCGTGCGTGCGTGCGTGCGTGCGTGTTGTGTGTGTGTGTGTGTGTGTGTGTGTGTGTGTGTGTGTGTGTGTGTGTGTGTGTGTGTGTGTGTGTGTGTGTGTGTGTGTGTGCGTGTGTGTGTGTGTGCGTGTGTGTGTGTGTGTGTGTGTGTTGTGTGTGTGTGTGTGTGTGTGTGTGTGTGTGTGTGTGCGTGTGTGTGTGTGTGTGTTGTATAGAATGATAGCACTGATTGCTGAAGATAGCTCTATTGATGACACACTCTACTACCTTGGTGAAGCTCTGAGAAAGAAGGTCCTTCCTCTTGATGTTTTCTTGAAGGTGAGTGTAGAATGCTAGTGGAGCAGAAACTCAAATGTGCAGCTGCCTTGTTTCTATCAGGTTTCTCCTCTTAGGCTGCGCATTTACGTCGTTTCTGTCCACTTCATGTTGTGCCTTTTGTGAGCTGATAGAGTTGATCATGATGATATGATTCAACCATAGTTCATGGGGGGGGGGGGGGCAGAGGGTATGGGTGTTGAACAGCTCAGTAGTATTCTATTGAATTTTCTTTCCATGGTTGCCTTTAGGGGAGAGCCAAATAACTGATGTCTTTGATGGTGCAGAAGTGTCTTCTTTGTGTGTGTGTGTGGGGGGGGGGGGGGGGGGGGGGGCGTAAGTGCAGCTTTTGTGTATGAATGTGGGTATGTAAACCCTGTACATACTCATAATTATGTAATTTTTTATTTTATGTTGTTGTTGTTGTTGTTAACTAATGCCCTCCTCTCTCTCTCTTTCTCTCTCTCTCTCTCTCTCTCTCTCTCTCTCTCTCTCTCTCTCTCTCTCTCTCTCTCTCTCTCTCTCTCTCTCTCTCTCTGTCTCTGTCTCTGTCTCTCTCTCTGTCTCTGTCTCCCCCCCCCCTCTCTCTCTCTCTCTTTCTCCCCCTCTCCCTCTCTCCCTCTGTGTGTTGTTGACTCACACCCGCTACAGCATGTCCGTGAGCTATCAACACGTCAGTACATGATCCGAGCGACGTTGCAGAGAGCTCAAGATGTGGCTGGCCTCTAGACATCGTCACACTACACACTGTACAGTGTGCAATGAAGACACCGTCCTGGTATCCACGTTCACCGTCAGGTCAATACCCCCACCACCCGGTGTGCATCATCCATTCAGTGTCAGCTGTCCCTTGGATTTCTGTCTGCTACACCAAGTTGCACTTATGCCTACGCCTTGCAGCAGAGGAGCGCCGCCTGTACGTACCGTCTGCCATTCGTTGTTGCTTGGCCTGTGTTACCGTGCCGTGAACGCTCGACTGTGCGCCTCCGTGTGCCGTGTACATACTTCTTGGAAAATGCGTTTGTTTGTTTCGTGCTCGACTTACCCCTGTACTTACACCCGTAGGATTCTGTGAGTAGCGGCAATGTAGTGCCTCCAGTCTAGGCGCAGCCAACAAGCCAACATGCTCTCTGTCTCTTCGCCAGGGTTTGACATATTCCAATCTTGTTCTCAATTGGTAGCCGGGGATTACTCTGGACGCGATTGGTCGCTGTTGTTGTTTTCTGAATTCTCATCGTCTCGTATCCGAACTCATTTGCCGCTCTTGAGCTATACGAATATTTTCACAGATTTCTTCATGCTTCTTCTTCTTTCTGTTGTTTGGCAACAATCATGTACTGGTAGCCCTTTACAACTGAATCATATTCACGACCCTACCCCCCCCCCCCACACACACACTATTGCCCTTTTAGTCTAATAGGTTCATTTATTTTTACCCCCCCCCCCCCCCCCCCCCGCCTTGCCCCATGACAAAATATGGGTTTCGCTCCCTGTTCGGGGATTTTCCCGTCTTGCGATTTTCCACTTCATGCCTGCAGGTTTTCAGGCTGTTCATGAAACTCGCCGTCCTGGTGTCTAAACGCCGCCACAGCCGGCTTTCTTTTTATGCGATTTGAATTTTTTTTAGTTCTCTGTTTTGCGTTCACGTCGCCGCTTGCTACGAATACTGTATTCTTTCCCACCGGTGCGTTGCGGGATGGTGTGTGTGTGTATGTGTTTTCACAGCCATTTCCACCCTCCAGCATCCGCATTGCCTGCTGCTGAGCAAATAAGTTTATGCTTGTAGCTCAACTTGGTCATGATCATGATCACATAAAGATAAAACGGAATTTTTGTGTACTGTACCGTATTGATGATTGTGTATTGAGTTTGTTGTTACTGCGCGCCTTTTATGTGCATTCTCGGCACTCCTGATTATGGGCATACATGTACTTCAGGACATGGCCAAGCTGCAAGAAGTTGAATCAATCTACTCTGCTGTCCTTGTGTTCTCTTGTGTACATGCGTGGTCTACTCTGCTGTTCCATGTAGCCTTGTAGGCCACCCAGTCCGTGCTGTCCAATGACCAAACTTACAATGTACTTGTAGTGCAAACACAATCATGTACAATGATCATACATCATACATGTGTGATGCAATGGATCATGGATGTAATAATAATAATAATTATTATTATTATTTCCTTTCCGCCCCCTTCACAAAGCCAGTGAACCATGCATGATCATGATGACTGGCTTGAAGAACGCTACACGTGCTTGTGAATACAGTAACACTACTAACGACACGTTATTTCTTGCATGCTGCTGTCCCCGGGGAAAATTGCGATTCCGCGGCCGCGTTTCTTGCGATTTTTTAAAAGACCGCGTTTTCCGCGATTTTCCCGCGTTTTTTGAACTTTTTTGTTGCACTACACATACATGTACACACAGTGCACTGTTCGGTCAGCAACGTCTCATCATGACGGCTTTTTTACTCAAATATGACGAGTGCTTACACCAGAGACTTGTAACTGATTGATTTCACTACATACTCACTGAAAATTGCCGCACATCAATATTATTCACCGTATATTTACCGCAAATTCACCGCAAATTATGCCATAATATGCGGCGTTTTTCCCCGTGTTTTTTGCGATTTTTTTCCGCAATTTTCCCCGGGGACAGATGCTGGCTAGTGTCAGCAGGTCCGTAAACATGGAAAAGCTGTACGAGTGTAGGCTCTCTCACTTCTCATCCGCCGCGGTTGAGTACAGACCAGGGAGTAGTATTTTACTACTCCCTGGTACAGACTGTCAAGTGTCAGTCACTGTGACTGGTGCACGAGACCGGGTTGGTTGCTACGCAGCGAAGACACTCCTATCGCCGTTGACAACTGCCCATCGCAGATCTCCTCGGGTACTCCATCCTCCCCTTTTTTTTCTGACATGGAGTGTGTACTGTCTGTGCGCGTGCGGGTACGATTAATTTTGTTTGTGGCGTTGTTTAGTTGTTTCGTCTGTATGGGTAGTATTGTAGCGGAGCAAAACTTGATGGTCTCAAACTCTGTGGTGTTGTTTGTCTTGTCGGGTGTTGCATGACTTGTTTCGTGAAAATAACACAAGGCTGTGTGTTCGTCGCTGTGATGTTCACCTCACCTGTCCGATCATAGCGTGACGTTCCACGTTCACAGCGTTCACCCTCCCCAGCTGCCGCTAAACATAGCAAAATTAATATTATTGCTTCAGAGTGACATTGTGAAGTAATCCGGCTTCGCCTGTAAAGATGTCCAGAACCCATAGCCGAGCTAAGTCAGCTTTTGCTCGCATGCCCGCTCACCAGGACGCCGATCGGCAGCAGTCGAATGAGTTCCCTCGGCCAGCTCATGCGGGCCTGCCACCAAAGCTCGGCCTGCGAAGGAATATGCTGGGCAGCACCGCCGATGCAGCCAATGACCAAGATTATTTCTATTGCAAGACTAGGTACGACCAGGATTTCGCCGGCGCTAGCGAAGGAGTTGCTAACGTGTGCAGAGGCGTAGCGAGACCAACGTCACCAACACGATTAAATAATCCACATCCATCACGAGTAAGAACACCACAATTTGTATTAGTTTATTACATTGTGTCATTGTCGCCACGACTACATGTAAGGGTTGATAACTAGAAGCCGGAGCAGATCACTGGAACATTTATGTTCAATGTCACACATGTTGCAAGTCACAAGTCCAACCACACACCGCAGCAGTACTGGCAAGGTACCAAGCTACTGTACAGAAACTGCCACAAGCATGCATCCATAGATCTCTCAGTGAGCTGTGACTCAATGGCCTGTTTGCCTGTTCTTGTGCTTGTATCTTACAATCAGACATTCATGCGATGGACGGGCAATGAGGATGAGATGCTGAAAGACGGACCGACCCTGGCTGAAGTCAAGGCTGCCGTAGAGAGCGATAAGAAGCCGTGGTTCCGCAAAGACTTCAAAGAAATCATCGGCCAGGGTCAGTCGGTAGAAACTCAATGTGCCTGAGTTGCGTGTGTGTGTGTGTGTGTGTGTGTGTGTGTGTGTGTGTGTGTGTTTGCCTTCTTATGCTTCTTATGCTGGATGCAGCGAATGGAGTGTTCGGTCTTTGACCACTTTGTGGTGGGTCTGATCTGAGTCGGGTAGCATTTTCTTCGGGTATCGGGTTCGGGTAGTTTCCCACGGGTAGAACTGGTACCCGATTGGGTAATGTTTCCATGGTAACACCACAATGCACCCCTTCCCACTGGGTAGATATGCGGAGTATTACGTGCGCTGTACATGATGTCATCTGCGACTTCGGGTTTTCGGGTACTATTCTGTGCCCGTCTACCCGAGGTGCTCACGGGCAGCACGGGTACCCAACTACCCGTGCACACCACTCGTCTGATCTACTCACCTCCCACCGCTTTAGGAGCTGCATCTGCGTCTTGGTCCATATAGGGTGGTGGCGTTGCTACGGATGCGGAAAACTCGACCTCCAGCAGAGTCTGACGAGAACCGTGAATTGTTTCTTATGCTTTCTCAATGAATGTCCAGGCATGCTGTCTATTAGGGCTGCAACGGGTAGGGGTTTGGTCGGGTAACAGGTTCGGGTATTTTTTATCCAGGTAGCACGGGTACCCTATCGGGTATTTTATGACACAGTTTGTACTGTGAATGTGCACTTGGGCTACATAGAAAGTGTACACAAGTAGAGAGAGCCCAAATGACCCACCAATCAATTTGCCCGAGAAATATGACTGCCAATCGGTTCAGTCAGCGTTGTATCTTATGAATTTAAGGCCCTTCGTGTGCAATAATTAGGAGATGAAGAATACTCGACTACAGTCAGACCTCGCTTATCCGGTCCTCGTTTATCCGGATCCGTCGCCATCCGGAAGAAAATCGCTGGTTACCGATGTGCAGCATATGTTATGCATACAACATACCGGACCTCGCGATCCGCATACCGGTGCATGATTTTGTGTACAAACTGGTTAAATGTGTATAAAAAGCTTCGTCGTATCCGGTTGCATGTGGCTTGCAGAAGCTAGAATCAGGGAGTTGTACAAGCAAATGAAGTCCTTGACCTGCTGGGTGCATGCGGACAGCACTCAGTTGCATGCACTTGTCATTTTTCTCGCTTGTTTTACATACTGTGCACGCTAGTTGTACTGCATAGGACCTGTCTACATGTGTGTACGATGTCACTGCTTTGACATGCCACATGCATAATATACAGTATGTGTGTTCAGTTATCCGATTCCCTCGCCTATCTGGAAATTTTTGTGGAAAACAGATGTGTGCGGTTAAGCGAGGCCTGACTGTACTCGAATATTCGATTGGAGAAAATCAGAGTACTCGAACTTGGGATCTCAATGCCATTTTCACCCCAATAGAAAGTGTACAGCAAGCACGCATCTGTGCTGGTTACATGCGCCGTTGCAAAAACACCATACTCCAACTACTAGAACCCGATCGGGTTCTCAGGAGCAAACAGCTACCCTACTAGTACCCGATGAAATTACGGGTAGCACGGGCACACTACTACTCGTTGACACCCTTACTGTCTATAGTGTTCGAGAAGTTCGTGGAACATGATTGCTATGCCAATCACCAGTGATGGAGAAAACGAAACATGGAACATGTAGTGACCTCAGTCGTGTGATCAAACATCAGTGCAAGATGCTAACGTGCACATTGGTATGGATTTGATATGCTACGACTGTACATGTGTACTGTTTGCTCTTCTGACCACTACGCGGAGGTGTACTCGGAGTCAGACCATGTGTTATCCACACAGTGCTGGGCTAGAGGTCAGACCATGTGTTATCCACACAGTGCTGGGCTAGAGGTTTGACTGTACTCTACAGCATCAGCTGATACTGGGCATGCAGCGCCTACAGACCCAGGAAGCAGTTTGAGTGGACCCTGAGCTACCCACCCTCTGTTCCACTGCCCATTACCCTTAGCTGCTGACCTTGCACCCAGTCGTCCCAAACTGCCTACATGATTGTGTGTGTGTGTGTGTGTGTGTGTGTACATGGTGTGTGTGTGTGTGTGTGTGTGTGTGTGTGTGTGTGTGTGTGTGTGATGTGTGTGTATGTGTGTGTGTGTATGTGTGTGACTGTGTGTGTGTGTGTGCGCGCGTGCGTGTGTATGTGCGTGTGTGTGTGTGTGTGTGTGTGTGTGTGTGTGTGTGTCTGCAGATATACCTGATGACAAAGTGCAGGAGTATTTGCGCACGTTCACACGAGTGAAGTTACCTTACGACCAGCCGGAGAGCTCCATGATTGGCATACACACACGCCTCAAGTCAGACCGTAAGTAGTGATAGTGGTGATTGCCAGGGCTCATCACATGATGGTTGTCATGGATATAACCAATGAGCTGTCCTGGAGGCAGACAGTAGCTAATTCCCGTACACATACAAGTGTCCGGTGGGGGCCATTATTGCCAAAAATGGATATGTGCTCCTGCACTTGTCCCAGTACCACGTGGACTCAAGATTATTTCCGGCTCAAATTCCCCTTGGGAAGGGGGGGGGGGGGTTGCAATGCTCTGATACAGATGTGGGGTGCTTTTGCTGCCGGTGTTGCTACTTCTGCTCCTGTTGGTGGTGCTGCTGATAGTGTTTGCTGCTGATATCTGTTGCTGCTGGTTCTGCTGCCGCCACTGCTGCTGGTCTTGGTTCTGGTGCTTCTACTGCTGGCAACCCCCCCAGATCCCCTTCCACACCCCTGGTGTTGGTGATGAACATGCTGCTGATGTTGTTGCTCACGGCCGGTGTTGCTGCTGATGTCCGTGCTAGTGCTGCATGTGGTAATGGTGGTGGGTGGTTCTGCTGTGCCTGCCATTGCTGTTGGTGGTGGGTGGTACTGCTTCCATTAGCACTGGTGTGTGTGTGTGTGTGTGTTTCCAATCGAGAGGTTGCGGGTTCAATTCCCGACGATTATGGTCGCACACGTCTTTCTTCTCTTTCTCGGACTCTTCCTGACTTTTCTTTCATTCTCCTGGGTGGTTACCAACAGCCAGTGTATGCCGGAGTATGTGGTGTGGTGTGTGTAGAAAAAAATGGAAAAATGAAAATAAGGATTCACTGGCCAGAAAATGTCACTTCAATCAGCTGTGTGGTGGATACCAGGCTAAAAATAGTGGCGGTCAATTCATCAGCCTTGCAAGCTGTTGAATGGTGTAATCCCAGCACAAGTTGCTATGTCGAACATAGCTGTTCGCTATCATCGCTTCCGCGATGGGCATGTCTGAGGTCTGAGGTGTGTGTGTGTGTGTGTGTGCAAGTGTGTGTGCAAGCTAGTTCGGTTGGTGGGTACACTTATGCCAGATTGTGCTGGGTCTGTTGCCAATGGGCTCGGCGGCTTGAAGGTGTAATGTTGTACCTGCCACCTTTGTTGGTTGCAGGGTTCATATACTTTCTATTTGAAGTATACATACCTGTTAACCGTGGACTGCTTCTGGCTAGATTAACTCTTGTGTAATCAATGGTGCTAGTGTAGCTTTTATCAGATCCACTCTGATTTAGCCACCCGCACTAGTAGCAAGTATTACCTTCACTGGGGGGGGGGGGGGGGGGGGGGGGAGGGTAACTGCAGTTGGATCCCGGGACGGATACCCTGATGCTGTCAATCCTTTTTTCTGCACCTTGTCCTCGCCCACTTACTGAGGTGTGGTGAGCCCATAAGTGAGATAATTTTCAAGTCCACCCGGAGTTTTGGGGATTTCAGGGGGTGTCGGCCGTTGGGCGGTTCAATAGCCAATTGAGTCATCTTTCCAAGATTCCTTTTGAGGCTCTCTCCCCTCTCCCGGGGAGACCCACGTGACCAGTTTTGGCAGTGAGCAACAAGTACAAGTGTGTGTGTGTGTGTGTGTGTGTGTGTGTGTGTGTGTGTGTGTGTGTGTGTGTGTGTGTGTGTGTGTGTGTGGCTGGCTTGCTGCTGTTGGTGCTGGTGATGCTATTGCTGCTGTTGGATCTGTTGCTGCTTCTGCTGCTACTCGGTAACAGCAATCACTGCCAATCGGGCTCTATTCTATCATTCTATGTTGATATGTAAGTTCAGGATCGCCCCGGGTGCATTTCAAGCGCGTCCTGAGCTGTATTCCCCGTATGTCCAGCTGCACTTTGTGCTGCCCATCTATTGTTTGAATACCACTGCATAACGCCCCATAGAAAGCAACTGTAGGGTTAGGAAGTAGGCGAATTACCTAGCTCCCACTTCAGTACTTGTACCATCAACCGGTTGGAATAGAACCCGGAACCCTGATGTGCAATATGGTCTGTTTGCCCCCTGTAGCTCCAGCCAAGCCAAAGAAGCTGGTGCCAAAGCGCTCCGGGAAGGACGCGCCCGTGGCTAAAACGGTATGTTGCTCTAAGCTCCATGCAGCATGCCATCATGTTGCAGCAGCTTTAATACAGGGGTCGGATGTGGCAGAGATCTCTATCGGGGGTTCCAGTGTAGTCAACAATGAACCGCTGATACATGTACAAGTACATGCATATGGTTTCCAGTAGTATAATTGAGAAATATAGGGGGTTCCGCTGAACCCCCCAAACGACCCCCCCCCCCCCATCCACCCCTGCAATATCTGCATCCCAGGGCACTATCCAACACAGTCCTCGATGCAGCACATTAGCTCAAACACAATTCATGAAGGTGGCTGGGTCCATTCTTGATTTTAGATGCTTTGCAACTACAGGTTAGCTAAGGAATCAGCTTTCCAATTTCTCTGAATACAATGCCAAACTACAGATGATCTGCAATGCTGTCTGCCTCATTGATGGATCTTCAATGAGTATATTCACCATGGTTGGTTAGGGCAAGAAGTGCAAGCTAGCTTCACTGCAGGACAGTCTTGGTAACTGCTGTATTTTGATGGCGAGCTCTATCCCTTCCTGCCCTGAGTGTGGACATTGAA